CGCGGTGTCTGCAGTGGTATTTGGTATTATCAAAGAGGCGCTCTAGTCTTCATGAACCATGACACATGAACAGTCCGATCGGCTTCGATCAAATTAAACAAATCGATCATTAAGAAAAAAACCATCTGCTTGAAGTGACAGTTAAAAAAACCCTTTCTTTTTAATTATTTTCCCGAAACATAAAAACAGGTGATTTAGTACTTAAGTCTTTGACATTTCTGTGACATTTCTCTCGCAGCGCTAGCGTCAAACGGCATTGCAGTACGTCACGCTCTCGTCGTTGTTGTAAATTTACACGTTTGCCACACCCATAACATTCAAGAGGAAAGCCTGTTCATTGTTCTTTGTTTGTTTGACGCACTAGGAACACTCTCATTAAAATGTTTAACTCTCATGCAATGTCTCTCTGCTTCTGGATCTGAGGAAACATCAGAAGGTCACGTCTCGAGGGGAATGCTGTTTGATGTATTCTCTGTGTAGCTGTGTACCCTAGCCGACATATTTACTCTTTGACTCAATTTGAAAATAAATGGAAATTGAGATGAGAGGCGATTGTTTGTCACAGTGCCAGACCACAACTGTGTTTATGTTTAGGCTGTACATCACATGCCAATATTCATTCCACGATGCCGTTTCTCTGTGTTGAGTCTGAATTGCAGCGAATGCATTGATCGGAAAGAGATAGGCAAGGTGTATGCTGCCATACTGTAGCATGGAGATAGTATAAAGGAATCCTAAAATAAGAAGGATTGTATACGTACAAATAATATGATTGTACAATCTCCTGTGAGACAGTCAATGAAGTATTGACAGAGCAAGAGTTGTCAAACCTCTGGAGGTTGTCTTCCATTGCTTCCAGTGAAGCCCTTTTCTTGTGTTCCCCGCCGTGATATTGCTGAAATATTGCTAAAAGCAGCGTAAAACAAACTCACTCATTGAAAATCAGCAATGATACCAGGTGTTCGAAAATGGTAAGCATGATCTACAAGACCGGTAGCAAAAACTCATTAACTGTGATTCATCTCTTGCCAAAGTTCTTTCCTCAAGCTTGTGGATGCATATTAATTGAAGCAGTTTTTGCTGTGGCAAACGTCATATTATGGAGATAGTATAAAGGAATCCTAAAAATTGTAGTTGAAGTAACAGAAAATAAGACAGATTGTATACGTACAAATAATATGATTGTACAATCTCCTGTGAGACAGTCTATGAAGTATTGACAGAGAAAGAGTTGTCAAACCTCTGGAGATTGTCTCCCATTGCTTTTTCCGACTGCGTGGACGTCATGAACAGCCTGGGTCCAATGTGTCTCCGACAGGTTTTAGGCAGCTTATTTCATGAACGTCATCTGGCGGGCTTCAGACACATATTTCAAATACCACCACTGTCGTGGCCTGATAGTAGGTGTCCAGTCTACTTTTGACGTATCGGTTTCAACACCATAAATTAACGTCATGTCTTGGTCCGGAACTTGTCAGCAGGAGGGTTCTAGACATGATTCCAATGACAGGCTTCCTTTGAGAGTTTTCAGAAGATTTAGCAGGATGTACTGATGTTTCTCATGAGGTTCTAGTAGGTTTGTAGTAGTATTCTAATGTTTCAGAATGAGTTGAATTTTCGGATTCTTTGGTATTTCTACAATCTATTTTGTAATGCAGATGTTTCTAGGGGTTTCCACTAAGTGTTTCCATAGAGGTTTCATCATCGCCAATATAGGTGTATTTATGTCACTGTTATAATGGGTTAGCGTGGACACTTTCTTCCAGAAACGACATAAAGATCATTAACAAACGTAGGTTCTTTTGTCGGTGGTTGATAACAGATTAATGCATGTGACCTATACTGAGCATGTGTTGTAGGTTTATTTAATCCACATCAAGGCAGTAAACTCCAAAAGGGTCAGATAGTGTAACTATACAGGGAACAGAACCCTGGTTCCCGACAAACGAACACTTTAACCGCTGTGCCACCCAGCCTATATGACGTATAGCACTTTCACCGTGTCTCACTTGAAGAAAAATTCAGTTCCGTCCGGAACTATTTTCTTCAAATACCTATCATTCACATCTCCAAGAAAACCAAGCTTTTAAACCGTGTAACCAACTACCTTCAAGGTAACCATTTTAACAAAAAGCCCCTAGATACTATATTCCAACACAAGTGGGTCGAAGTGGGTCGCCTACAGCGTTAATCCAATAGAAAGTCCCCAGCAGCTAATCATCTTCGCTGTAAGTAGCACTCTGTATCAGAGATTGTAATATGTGGCTCTCACGCAATCTCGCCATGACACTTCCTTAAATCACTGCTCTCTTACTTCAGATCGGCTGAATCTCCTATTTATGTGGTTTGATGGGAACCTGTATTCATCATAGTCTTTATTAGGGAATTTTCGATTGAGGTAATTATTCTCCAGCCATTTCCCGGCAATTTATTGCGATGTGACATGATCCAGATATAATCAATCTTTCTGGTCAAACTTCCTCGTTCCAACATATTTTTCAGAAGGATGTTAAAAAGCCCGCTATTTCGAGGGTTGGAGAAGAAAATAAATCAACATGAAATGAAAGAACACTTTCAAGAATAATCAAAGATATAAATCTCGTTTGAGGTTGTTTTTTGTGGGACTGGTTTAAAATGCATGTAGGCTGATTATCGATCAAAAAACAAATGATTTATCACTTTTGATTGCATCAGATGTTAATACTATTTTTACATATAGTCGCGCCTGGTCTTCTTCATCAGTGATAGGGGGCGGTGGGGTAGCCGAGAGGTTAAAGCGTTGACTCGTCACGCCGAAGACCCGGGTTCGAATCCCCACATGGGTACAATATGTGAAGCCCATTTCTGGTGTCCCCCGCCGTGATGTTGCTGGAATATTGCTAAAAGCGGCGTAAAACCAGTCAGTCAGTCAGTCATCAGTGATATTTCCCGTCTGGGGGGTTTCCTCTGGGAACTGACCACGAGTAACATTTGCTGGTCATAAAATGCGATTAAATTCATCTGGCGGTCAGGCTTGGTGATTGTGGAACTGCGCGTCGTAAGCCTGGGAAGGTGGATGTGCGGTCAATCACTGGCTATGGTTTGACGTGTTGTTTTACGCCGCACTCAGCAATATTCCAGCTATATGCGGCGGTCTGTAAATAATCCGACTAGACAAAACAATGATCAACAGTATGAGCATCGATCTATGAATTGGCATGCGATGACATGTGTCAACCAAGTCAGCGAGTCTGACCACCCGATCCCTTTAGTCGCATGGGTTACTGAAGACCATTCTAAACCGGAAGTTCACGGGGTTTTGCTCCCAAAAGTTAGACGTCCCAAAAGTCAGACAAATCAATCAGGCGTGACTCTGATTACAACCTAGTCTTACCCACTGATTTAATGAACCTGTCCCATACACTAACGAGATGGTTTTCATATTTGTACAGAAATACTTTGATCAGAATACTAATGTTGACAGTTAATCTAGAGAAAACTCAAATTTTTGTTTCTAGAAGAGGTGGACCCTTAGCGAGAAATGAGAAATGGTTTTATATAGGTGAAAGTGTCTTAACAGTTGATTCATATAGATATCTAGGTATTCCTTTTTCATCTTCTTGTAAGTTCAATAAATGTATATTAGATGTATCATCTCGGGGTAAAAGGGCACTTCTAGAAGTACTACACCCGTTATATAAATTCGATAATGTTGACTATTCTGTATTTTTAAAAATATTTGATACCCAAATTCAACCAATCCTTTTGTATGGTGCCGAAGTATGGGGTATTAATAAATCTTGAAAATGTACATTTATCTGCATGTAAGGAGTTCTTAAATGAATCCCAGTTTCTTCAAATGTTTAAACAAGTTGCAGTTGACATGTATATACAGTCATGGGATAGTATAATGGTTTTTACGATGTTCACCTTGATCAAAACAGGATTATAGATTTTTATGTTTTTGAGTTTTCATTACCCTAATGGAGTTACTTCCTTCCTAACAAGGGGCGGTGGGGTAGCCTAGTGGTTAAAGCGTTGGCTCGTCACGCCGAAGACCCGTTTTCGACTCCCCACATGGGTACAATGTGTGAAGCCCATTTCTGGTGTTCCCCGTCGTGAAGTTGCTGGAATATTGCTAAAAGCGGCGTAAAACCAAACTCAGTCAACCAGTCCTTCCTAACATTTTTTTCCAACATAAGGCCAGACCAATTTTATTTCTTGTTTTACGGATCCGCCTGTCGTATTTTTTCAATAATAACCAAAAAAAAAGTGAATTTTCCCCGCTCAAAAAATATAATCCAAATATTTTATTGGTCAAACATGTAAATTTACAAGAATTTTTTTTTTCGATAGTGCTTTGCCCCATATACACTTCATAAATTGCCAAAAGTAAAATACTTTCAGTATTTATTTGTATTTTTTTCCCCTCCTACCTTTAGTATTTCTGTGGGACAAAAATCCGTAAAACAAGAAATAAAATTGGTCTGGCATAACCTATATAAAATAAAGTCATTGTCATTATCCATAATCTCTTCTCTTTGTGTTTGGATTAGTACATTTTTGACTAGTCCATTTATTAAAGAAGGTAACAGTGTAGTGAACCTCAGTGCAACCAACCATAACCTTTGTTGTTTTAACGCGTCTAACTTTTGGGATGTCTAACATTTGGGAGGACACCTTCACGGGCACACTGGTCATGTTGCTTACTTGACTATAACTTGCTGGGATATTGCTGAGTGCCGCAAACAAACAAACAAACAAACATGAGTATCATGAGAAACATAACATTCAGCTTCCTGGAAATATCCGTGTTTTAGAATCACATTCGTTAAAACAATGAATGGTATTTTACGCCGCAGTCAACAATATTTCAACTACATTAATACACTGAGAAAAGCAGGTAAGTTACACATTGTGATCCTTTGGTCTCCATGTGAGGGTGTTCGGGGCCTACTCTGACCCAAAATCCCGGAATTCTATAGAAATACAAAGAAAAAAATATTTGCAAAAACACTTACACGATGTTTACTCCGCTGGAAGATAATGTGTGGATATCCAGTTTCTCCTTGGTACGTCCAGTCGCGGGCACGATCACCGTGTCATTGGGATACGTGCATGACGTAATCTTCAGATTTGATGACGTAGGCAGAAAGTGTGCACCATCTTCTGTCATCACCCACATTCGTTCTACCCTTGGACAGCGTCGAATCACAACTGCAATGGAGATACAAGGAAGGTGAGTGAGTGGGTTTAACTCCGTAAATGTTCATGTAATAACACAAAATGTGACACATTCAATTAGTTTAACACATTGTGCCTGTGTAAGGAATCGAAACCAGGACTTCTGCATACCAACGGGACGATGTCAAACATTGAGACCAACTAGATGAAATACTGTCCCGAACTTCTATCTTCTATCCATATTATATGAACCATTTGGTGTTTCAACATTCATCAGGCGTTTTGAGTAGAATATTGTAAAGATTATTCTGGGCCATTAAGAAAACATAACTAAAAGCGCATGTTATAGCACCCCGTAAACCTATCCTTCATATGACGCCATATTAACGATTTTGACTTCATTGATTGATGACGCCAAATGTAGTTCAGAAAAATGAAGTAATGTGACATCATAAAGTTGTAACGACAGAAAAAAAATCCATTATCCCACGATTTCCTTTGGCCGTAAAAATTGCAAAATAGCGTTCTGGGTCCCGATCAACAAAGCATTCGTAACGTCACGATCTATCGTAACTCTATGCTTTATCATAGACTTACGCATGGCATAGTGCTACGAACGTTTTGTGAATCGGCCCCAAGATTTCCGGGCAAATCAGAAATGACACCCTGTTAGACATTTTCTATCTGTATAGGTTTAACGCATAGTAGTCACACTTTAGCTAAGGATCAAATCATGGATTCAACAGAAAACTATGATGTGGGGTCAGATTTGGTTTAAATATCCAAGCTTATTGTAAGCATGGATCCTAGGTTTCAGTATATCATTGCATCTTGTGGAACCCATACCTGCTATTGACAGGTGTTGTGTACTTGTCAATGACTCGTTCCATGATTTGCAAAATGGTTGATTGGTGCCATGAAAACCATTTTAATGGTTACGGATGTCTCAAGTGCATAATGTTAGATTAAAGTGGCTGTTTGCCTAAAGAGGGGTTACCATTAATATTATTTATCCAGTTTTAAATGGATACAATTTCAAATTATAAATCACCGTTTATATAAAGTTGTGAATTTTTGTGATCCTTAGCAAAGTGTGAGTAGTACAGTATAATATAGGTTTAGTATTGTTAATGGCTGCTGAAACGATGCTGAAGCGATGCTGCGGGGGACAGGAATACACAGTCGGAACAGGGCCCACATGCAGGAACTGATCTTAGCGTTACGACTGCCGTAAACAAGTGCTCACGTTAAAACTCCATATCGGACTAAGGATTACATTTGTCTGGCTGCCAAGACAACGCATCTTGTCCAATTCACTCTTGATGATGTAATTTATGCTGCGAGTACTTATAACCATATGTTTTACGAGACACTAATCACATGGATCTTTTGCAGACACAAGCCCCAAGAGATTATGATATAAAAAGCAAGTCAGCTTTGAACTGTGTCTAATCACCCACTTCCTTGATCTTATGCACGATTTATAACGAAGAAAAAGACCACACACACAAAACACATAGGCCATTATAACAAGATAAGGTAAAAAGAAGAAAGCAAAATGACACAATTAAGAAAGACAAATCCAAAAGCCGTCGATATCAAACGATACCATCCGTTGTCTCAAGACATTTGAGTCTCTGCCATCAGTTTTTGGACAGACGGCGGTGATTTAACAAGATAGACTCAATCGTATTGAGGTCCAATGCACCAACTTAATCGTAGACAGAGCATAGTGATGGTGCAGCGCAGGGTTGAGAGAACGCTAGTTTTACTACTGCCGGTGCTGGGATAAATGGTATTCCCACGTGAGTGTCCAGCTCAATTGGGAGAAGTAAATCCTGCTGACTTTTGATTGACCTTTGCTATATTCTCAGCCAGGAAGGAATGACATGATTATGCCGGTCACATTGAAGCCATATGTTGGATTCGATCAACCTTTAGTAGCGGAGTGCATTCTGGGAACACATTCAACGGTTGGCTATTTTGTCGTTGTTTTGTGAGTGAACTGGCGTACATGAACAACAGTAGCTAATATTCAGGGCTCCAGATAAGGGCACCAGATATGTACGGATAAACAATAAGCACGGTACGGTAGGAAATAATTTAGAAAACGTAGCAGATACGCACCACAGCAATGATGCACGGTCTTAGAATCATTTACAGACGTATTTATCTGAAAAGGTATTGTTTATTGTTTACTGACCTGTTTACACAAGAGCAGCAATGTTGTGGTGCATATATGAGACGAAATACAAGATTACTGATACTCCATTAAATTCCATTCAGTACTGTAAATGTACACTTAAGGTTTTCCAGTACTCCTATATTGAGAAAATGAAGAGTACGTACTCCTGATGTTGAAAACCTATCTGGAGCCCTGTTAATATTGTCAGTTTGATTGTTATATAACGCCATCCTCAGTGATAATCGAGTCTGGAACGGACGATCCAGTGATTGACATCATGAGCATTGGTCCGCGCAATTGGGACACGGCGACATGCAATCTAACCAAGTCACAAGAGCCTAAACACCAGTACCATATGGGAAGGTTTCGATGTCGTGAACCGACTCAAATACCGAAATTGATACTCTCACATTAATCAAATATGTTGCTGCATTTAAAACACATGCCACTGTTCTAAAATGGACCTTCCTAGCGTCCATCAGTATCCTAGCACGTGCTATCGACTGATGGACCAGAAAATAGAGTGACACGATGCAGCATCAAGGTCTCTTACTCACTCGAGAGACACTTCATAATTACAACTTTGCAGGTCTGACGAATCTGTGAAGACCCGCCTGAGAATCGGTCTTCAGAAACCCATGCTTGTTGTAAGAGGAGACAAACGGGATCAGGGGGTCAGGCTCGCTGACTTGGTTGACACATGATATCATATCCCAATTGCGCCATCGATGCGCATGATGTTAATCACTGGATTGTCAGGTCCAGACTCGTTATTTATAGACGCCGCTATTGTGGAGTTATCTGCTATGTAGCTGGAATATTGCTGAGTGCGGCGTAAAACAACAAACCAAACCATAGCCAGTGATTGATCGCACGGCCACCTTCCCAGGCTGATAACGCGCAGTAACCAAATCACCAAATCTGAGTGCGGCGTAAAACAACAAACCAAACCGAACCATAGCCAGTGATTGATCGCACGGCCACCTTCCCAGGCTGATAACGCGCAGTAACCAAATCACCAAATCTGAGTGCGGCGTTAAACAACAACCAAATTGCAGTTCTGAGGGCCTATGCAACGAGAGATTTGTAATATTTTCCTGAATACGCTGCAGAAAACAGGAAAATGGAGGTGCATGCAAATGTCTTTTGAGCTGAATCTAGGACTTCAAATTGATGTGTGAAAGGAATTTGCCTTGTAAATCTTACCAGTTGATAGGGTGATCTGAGGGAGTACTAGGGTTGGAGATGACGTAAATGTTTCTTACTAGATGTTTAAATCCTAACGGGAACAAAAATAATGCGTCGAGTGTCCTAAAGTGTATGCGTTGGTGGGGCGGTGAAGAAATATAGACTAAATATCTTTAGTATTAAGCATTAGAGGACGACGCTATTTTTCTGAACTTGTAAAATGTCTTTCGTCAGCATAACGATAGACTGTAAATGAGTGAGTAAATGAGTGAGATTTGGTTTACGCCGCGTTTAGCAATATTCCTGCAATATCCCGGCGGGGGACATCAGGAACGGGCTTCACACATTGTACCCATCTCGGGAATCGAACCTGGGTCTTCTGCGTGACGAACGAACACTTTAACCACTAGGCTACCCCACCGCCCCAACTGTAAATGAAGTGAAAACATTCCCCCATATGAAGATTACGACTTGGGTTCTTGCTGCAGGGGCGTTTGAGTAGTCTAGTAGCGTTCACGCCAAAGACCCGGGTTCGATTCCCCACATGGGTCCATTTTGCAGACCATTTCTGGTGTCTCTCGCCGTGAGTCGTAAAGCCATACTCACTCTGTGTCTTACTGGCTTAAACTAAGCGTTCAGAACGCTATGTCAGGGGTTCAAAAATCCCATCGCCCGACGCCCGGGACAAGTCAGTTTTCATTTCGGGCAATCAAATAATGGTATCTTACTTGTCAGTGGGCTACTAAATAATTTCCACTTATGGTTTCAAACTGCAAATAAACTTGGATTTAATTTCATATCTGCTCAAAATGTAACCTTTAAATTTCGCAATGATGATAAAGTAGAGTTATCTTTCTTTGCTATTTATCACTTTTCAATAAATAGTCCAGTAAACATTAACATCAAATACCATGTTGATTTATTCTTTCATAATTACATCATCATGATTATGTCATAAAATCAGGGCAAGTGGAAATTTGGTCAGGACAAGTTACTTTCTTAAAGTCACTTGCCCTGTGGCAAGTGGCTTTTTTAAAATAATTTTGAACCCCTGTATGTATACTTTAAGTGCTCCGACATCTATGCGTTGAGTATCTTTACTAATATGTGTTGAGGAATCTGGAATCAATACGTTGAGAGGCCTAAAATCTTTGCCTTGAGGCTCGTAAACTTCTATAAATCCCCGTATATGTTTCGATTATCTAAAGTGTTTAAATTATGAAACATGTTCAGGTTCGATTTCTCAACATATATAAACACATATCATGACAGTAAACACATGTCAGGAGATGTTAGTCTTAGCCGGTTCAGTGCCATCCTGTATTAGAATCAATAATTTCCTTAAATTTTATTTTTTTTCCAAATTGGAATACGAACGCAAATTCCTTAGGCAGATTTAACTCTGCTTCTGTTGCCATAAAGTACCACAGGGATGTTGAAGACGATGCCCTGGGCTATGCAGAAAAAGATGCATTGACTTCTGAAGGATCCGTTCTCAGAACAGATTCCTGATATTTTCTTAGAATGTTTGGAAATACACATGCCGTCATGCAACCAACGTACATCCGGGCTACAGGAGTTTCAGAAACATATGCAGTAACCAGACACAACATCTCTCACTTGCCGTTTAGCAAAGAATCGAACATTCAGCTTTTGCGAC